CTGTTGGTCTGGCAGCTCACGATGTACGTTGTCGCGGTGGGATTAGCGTCCTTGATGGACGCGTCGTAGGGGTTGTCACCGAAATAGGGGTTGAGGACGCTGATCACGGACGTGGTTTGCGCCGCGGTGATGCCCACGAAGGCTAACAAGGCTGTCGTGCAGTACTTCATCTTGTGATCAGTACGTAATTAAGAGGGCAAAGAAAGATGTCCTCGTAAATATCGCGGCGAGGCAATGTTTTTTCCTTGGCTGGCCATGGTGGTCAATTTCCCGGCAAAGCTGTGCCGCAGGCTTACTGGAGGAATTGGGCCCGATAGTCCATGGCCATTTCTGGTCAAGCGCTCGTGTCATCGTGTGTTGGTAGCGAGAAAAAAATAACAATAAACCAAAGCTCCAAAACGGCAGTCCAGACTGCTGTTGGCAAGCAATACTCCGATTGGACGCAGCGCAACAACGTTGGCTGTCATTCTGATGAAGAAAATCAAACGTTTTGTGTTATGGAAGTGATGCCACAAAACGACTTATTGCGAACCCGAATGATTGAGGCTCGCTGGCACACTGAATAGCTTCGCACACTATAATTTCTGAAAAATCGGACTGTGACCTCTGTGCACCACGCAATTGTTTGTACGAAATATGAGGTAGCTGGCAATATGTTGTACTCGTCCCCTAGAGATGCTCGTTTTGGTGGAGTGCATCGTGTATCCTGCACTAAAAAAGGCATTTATTGCTGTTAACTAATACGCAGGTTAAAACTCGTCTAGCATCGGCATGCTGTAGACAGACGTTAGCGATTGGGCACTATGGCATGGGCGTGGTAGTTGTGCAAGTTGGAGCTGAGTTTATTTTGACATCTTCCGGTCTGCGACTCTGCGGGCCTAGATTCGCCGAACTGTAGCAGTGAGTTTACTAGGACGCTTCAGTTGCAGGATGCCCCGGGCGGGAGCAGGACGGGTCGGATGAAATGGCAACATCGAAAGCCCTTGCTGGTTGAGCTCGGCGTGAGTGATGGGATGAAAGATGGAACGAACTCGTTGGAACAGTCGCTCAGAATGATCTTGTGGCCAGTGCACAGAGACGCACACAGTACAGATCGAGACTGAGTTTAGCAGTGCGACTGACTCCAACGTTGAGATGGTCACAAAGACGAAGGCGTGGTCACCGGCGAGAGCCGAGATAATCGTCTACCGCGCGTGGGTAGAAAGTAGATGCATCTGCAGCGGTGGATAATGACCACACATTGGGTCCTGCCTAACACGGATGAGGGAGTTGCAGCGAGCGGAAAGAGGGCCCCGAGACTCGCAGTCGGAGCCTATCAAACAGCAAATCGAGGCGGAATCGGCTCCCACTTGGACTTCACTTCCACTCGGGGTCCAGATATCGTATGTTCCACGTTGACGAGGGCATGGTCAATTCTGATCAGCTGCGATCGAAAGGTATCCAGGAAAGATCCGACAAAAGGAACCGTTGGGTGGCGGGGAGGTGAGACCGAGACCGTGATGTTTCTGAAGAGTGATTTTCTGGTCAGGCCGGGTTGTGGGCATGAAGTCCCGGAGTGATGTCCAGCATTAACGACGGGATGGGAAGGTGCTGGTGTTTTGGTCGAGGTTTCCTCATGGGATGCAAGTTACCTAAGCCTCCTCTGGCAAGGCATGACCGCAAGAGTCACTGTTGTGAGTTGCGACTTCCTCAGTAGCGCAGCGGAGCGGGGACGAACGGGCATGACGGGGGCATGGGGAGGCCACGGGGGGGAACAGCCAACCCCTGCCGGTTCCTGCCTGGCTGGCAACGTCCGGCCAGTCAGATGGCCAGTGATAAGAGGACCGTCTCCAGTCCGGGCGCCCGTGCCCACCCAGCTCATATTATTATTTTTTTCGAAATTCGCGGTCTTGGCATTTCTTGGCCTTCTTCCCTTCCATCCTCTCATCGTCGCCCGTTTTGTTTCCCTCGCCCAGCTGCCAATGTCCACCACTAGTATTGGATGATCCAGCAGCCATCGGCCCTTGGCCATCAGGCGAGCCGCGGTGGATGCTACGGATACAGTGGTACACGCACACACTGCAGATACCTACTCCGTACGCACGCTACGGTTACCCAGCTATTATCGCACGCATTGAATCGCCCCCAAGATGGAGGTGCTCAGCTCGCATTACACCCACTGCCTGCAATGCAGCAGCAGGTCTGCTGCTGGGTTGCCTTTTGGGAAGGCCGTTGACGGTTGAAGTCTCAACCTGACTGAACTGACGGGAAACGCCGTTGTTACGAGGAAGCCAGCCTACGGAGCACACCTTACGCATACAGTGAGCATGAGGTCTGCCGAGACAAGGGCAAGCCACCTTCGTCTCCCGTGGGTCGTGGACCTTTGACCCTCTCACACATTCGCCGAGTCTCCAAAGGGCGCCGTACCATCTTGTCCAAAAGTCTTGGCTTTCGTCCCATTTTGCCAAAAGAATGCCAATCGCTCACCTACTCTCCCGCCCAGCCTTGGCCGGCAAGGACGGCGCATTGGCAAAGGCTGCAAAGTCCTCAATCTCTCTCCGACACGTCTTTCTACTCACCTGAAAGTTGAGCCGCTCCCCTTTGCTCGCAATACTGCTGTCACGACAGTAAATCTCCTTCACCGGAAACCCCTCCTCATTCTCTCGGCTCCGTTCCTAGCTTGCTCTTTTAAGGAAACGGACCCCTCCGACCAAGACGCAACCTTTCCCTGCTTGCTGACAGCTTCCGCTTTGCTGTATTCGTCGTACCTTATGCCATCGCTACAACCGCGAAACACCCGCTACGACCGTCCCATGCTATAACCAGGGTCGCTCACCACCGCCGCATACGAACAAACCCACTCTCCGCCCCAAAGAACGGCCAACGGCCTTTCCTCCGACCTTTCTCCTACTTTGACAGGGAAATCAACGGCGTGTCACCGAGTCCCCGTCTGGCTCCCCCAGCTTCAACACCCGCCCTGTCAGCCTGGTCCGCTGCATTGCATAACCTTGCCTTGCCAGTATTGGTAGCTGTCCGACCCATGAACCGCCTCCGGTGGCTAGCTCGTTGACGTCAAGCACTGCTGCACCTTTCGACCGGCTCGAGACTCGACCAATCCACATTCTACGTCGCCACGATGAGGTGCTCGCAGCCTTCCGCCGCTCTGCTGTCACTGTGTTTCCTTTTCTCGAATGCCGTCCTCGCCGATGATACGACCACTGTTCCGATCTACCTGCCGCACTATGATGCGAATAGCTGGTCGCAGCTGCGGGGGAGTGTAATTTCAAGTGTATGAGCATCCCAATGCTGCCGGAGCTTCCTATCGAATGCGATTGCTGTGATCTAACTATTTGCGCCACCGTAGAATGCCAAAGAAACAACATATACCGTCTTCTGCCCGCCACAAACAAGCCCCAATTGCGACCTAGCCATTGAGTTCCCCTTCGTCTTCTCCGAGGGCGAGAGCACGCTTCAGTTCCACGGCACCAAGACATCAACTCTGTAGGTTCTCGCCTCCCGCAACACGTGCGTCGCTTGGGAAGGAGTGGGACAACTAATTTTGACGTGGGCGGACAGCATCGCCGATCTGGGCTGCACATTGAGCGGGACGACAGCTGCGACATGTTCAGGATACTCGAGTCTGAAGAGCGGATACATTAACGGCAAATTGACGGGCCCGACCGAGGTGTCATGGACATCGACCATGACCGGCTCTGAGGTGGAATGGGGTATTCTCACTATGGCCGAGGAGCCCGCGGCTACAGCAACCCCAGCGACGACAACAACTGCCGACAACTCGAACTTTGACGACTTCTTGTACACGGATAGCCTGTCGCCTTCATTACCTGCCGAAACCAACCCGAGCGCTGCCCCTCGTCTTGGTCGCGGCTGGGCTCTCATTGCATCAGTATGCAGCATGGCAGTTGTCGCGTTGGTGGCATAACCGGCGACGTTTCTACGCTCTCAGACTACCTACCTACGGCACACTATACCCACAATGGCGATCACAAATGATCCGCTACTCGGAACCCGAAAGAAAACGAAATAGAGAGCGGCATCATCATCATGGAAAGGCAACATACGAAGCAGATCAAAACTAGGAACCTGGATCTCGGGACAACGATTTGGAGAGGGTGACACATTATTGGAGTTTTGCCCTCATGTCAGCATAAAGGGGGAAGCAAGTGGAGTGTCGTTGGCGAGCCCATTGTCTTTTCTACCCACAGAGCTTTGTCATTTCTCGCAATGTGCTCCTTTTTGGAGTTATACCCCGTATCGGCGTTGAATTTATTTACGATCAAGGGCTCAACGGCAAATATAGACATGGAAAGGACAGGAGATGATTCCTAGTCCTATGATTCTTTGTGCAACCAGTTTCATCGAAAATTCATGTCGTTTATCCACCGAGAACATGCCCATCAAAACAATCTGTCACTCATCTCATCATCTTAGAATGAACGGATCCTTCGAGCAGTCACACGTTTGACAGGATCCCCGCCAGATTGGTCGGCAGTCCTGCGTTACGCTCCACGCAAGACAACATGTGCGAGGAACGCGGACAGCTATTATACTCGCCTCTTGGACGATCGATTCTTCACTAAGCAGCAGGGCGACAAGCATGATGTGTTAATTTGAGGTCTTGAACACTAGAAACTTTCAGGGGTATGTATAGTCTTTCATATGTTCAGAAATGATGCCTTTACCCAACGCCAGTTACGCCTATTTTCCCTAGATTCCTTTCTATACAAGAGGGAAATGCCAAAATAGCAACATGGCGCCCAAGACGCTTGTGTATGTACATTTGAATAAGATGTTTACTGCGCCACTTTGGCTCGGGACGGTGGCGGGAGGCGGGTCAGTGGTCGAATTACTCGTCGAGTTGTCGGTTGCATTCGTGAGGCTGGCGCAATGCCCGTCAGCGGTTGATCCCCCGTTGGCTCATTATCCACTGAATGCACAGCGCAGGACACAGAAGGACGCAAAGAGGGTTGGTTTCCGCAACGGAGGTTGTCGCAAAAAACCTACTGGCTAACGACGAGACCCTGGATAATCTCGAGCGCGCTCATGGTCTGGCCCAGGCCGTAGCTGCCGTCGTCGCCGTCGACGTACCACTTTTGCCCGCACGTCACGTTGCCCGCCGTGGCCTCGCAGACTTTGGCCGCCGCGAGCGCGCTCGGGATCAGGATCTCCTTGACCTCGGGCAGCAGGGCGGGCATGACGACGGCGGACTGCCACATGAAGCGCGAGAGGTAGCCCTTGAACGTCTTCATGTCCGTGTTGCAGGTGCCGACCGTCTCGCACGCGGGCTCGTACATGATGTTTGTGCTGTTCTCGTTGAGGGAGAAGAAGCTCTTGCGCGCCGTGGCGAGCATCTTCGTCGCGCGGTCCGCCCAGAGGGCGTCGCCCGTGTGGTTGGCCATGACGGCCGCGCCGTAGAGGTAGATGCCCGTGGAGTAGGTGAAGGAGACGTAGTTCGTCTTTGTGCAGTTGTCGCGCGAGTCGGCGCCGTCGTAGACTTTGAGGTCGGCGTCGAGGAAGCCGACGGCGGCGGACCAGTCCCAGACGTACGAGGCCCAGTCTGCGTAGCGGGAGTCGTTCGTCGCGGCGGCGAGGCGGGCGCCGAGCTGGAAGAAGCCGCCGTTGCTGACGCTGTTTTTGTAGTTGAGGCCGTTGGGGTTGGACTCGTAGATTTGCCAGAGGAGCCCGCCGCCGCAGTGCGTCATGTTCCAGCGGCCCGCGAGGGAGTTGAAGATGTTGCGGCCCATTTGGAGCCAGGCGGGGGCCCCCGTCGAAGGATCGGGGTCGGGGAAGTTGCGCTCGGCGGCGGACATGACGGCGAAGCCCCAGAAGCCGAGGTCGTCGTTTCCTTCTTCGAGTTCGTGCTCGGGGGGCATGAAGTCATAGTTGGGCCCCGTGTTTACTTTTGCGGTCAGGGCTTGGGTCAGGACTGCGTTGTAGGTTGCGTCGCCTGTGTAGTGGAAGTAGTCCATCATGATGCCCCAGAGGGCGCCGGCTTGCCACCAGTAGTATGGTTCCGGGAGGTCGCCAACCATCTATGGAGATTGTCTTGTCAGTTCTTGTACTCGATGTCGAGACTATCCTTCTCGTTCGTGGAGACCTGAATTGTCTGTTCTAGGTTGTCATACCTTGGGATCGCTGGAGACGTTTCCGCTGTAGTAAGACATGGCACCGAAAGCCAGACTGCCGGCAATAGCCTTGACGGAGTCTTGGGGCTCTGTTAGCAAAAAGCCTTGCACAGTTGAGACTTTGGGCACCAACCTGCGTTATTTACATCGAGCGTCTTGGGCGATGTGAAGGCGGAGACCGCCGTAATAGCCACGGAGGCGATGAGAGCGGGCTTAATGAGGACCATGGTGATGATACCAGGAGCTGATCTACAGACTTTGGGCGCGGTGGGTTGTCACCGTTCTGATGATAGGACAGTGTCTTCAAGAGACCAATTACTTATCCAGCGCCTTTCACAAAGGAATGTTTCGGATATAGCAAAGTAGGGAATACTCCGTCAAAGAGGGACGTAGGGTGAGAGAAGACAGTATTTCCTAAAGGAATGGCTTTTTTGGGTGAAAGAGGGCGAGAAACAAGCAGCGAAACAGCTCACGAGAAACGAGAGAAGGTTGAGAAGCGAAAGTGGCAGCGTATAGTTTAGGTAATGAACAGGCAAGAAAGTATCCGATCTACATACAGGGCAACCGAGGCGTTCCTCTTAATGAGTGAAAAGGAACGTCGCAACCAGGGGGGCGAAGAGGGCAGTTCGCTGTTCAGGTCCCGGCGCGCGGTTCGTGAGGTGGCACTAGGAGCGTTGAGGGGTGAAGTTCAAGGAATAGACGGCAGCTCCGGCCAATGGGGGGGGGGGGCCACTCGCTGAACTTTTGGTTCGACTCAGCCCACCTTTCATCCCATGTTCCATCTCTTTTAGACTTCTTGACAACTGCTCGTACAAAAAAGTCTCCTTGCCCACATGAATCCCGCCGGTCTCCCCCCTGACTCTTAGGGCGGGCGGTTGTGAGCTTGGGTGTAGACAGGGGCTTCGACTGGGTCATCTCCCCATGTTTTGAGAAGCGCGGCGGCGGCCTTTAGTCAGGTACGCACATACGGATGTATATACTTGCAGACTGGAGACGCTGCGCTGTCACTGGGCTGAAGAGCTGAGGAGGAGGGGTGGTTGACTGGTCGAAAGGGGAAGTTCCAACGGGACCAGAGCCGCCGAAAAGGGGGAGGGGGATGCGGGAGAGCGGGGTGTGGGCGGTTTGTGTGGTTCTCAATGCAAGCTTACAATGAACAAACTTGCATGAAGAAAGGGTATTTCGAATTGTGATTGACAGGCCAGCGTTGTACCGGGACAACCCATGGCAGATCGAAAGAGGATGGGATCATAGAAGGCCTCTGGCTCTTTTGGAGTACTGCTGTCCAGACATGTTGCAAGGCCAGCAATAACCAGGCAGGATGTCGACGATTGGGTCAGTGATTGGGCGCTTGTTTGGAGGAGTGGTGAGAAACCCTTGGACGGGATGATCTACTTGAGAGCCGCTAGCTCGGGTTACCGTTACCTCCAGCTCAACACATGAAACAGCGACGGCACCCAATTTTAGCCCTTGCCTAATGGAGAATGGCGGGGGCCTGGGGGTGCCTATCGGCAACCATGATTTCTGGAAATGGTTGACAAAACGGCGGTTGTTTTTTTTCCCTCTTCTGTGGTGGCGCCGTGCCAAATGCCGGGTCTCGTAAACAATGTGGAAAAGGTAACGGATTGGTTCTCGATGGCGCGTTGCTAGCAGTCCATTTCTCAAATCTACTTGGGTCGTCGATTGAAAGCCAGGCAAGCACTGGCAGGGTCAATGGGCAAAGGCGACGACTCAACTGGATCAGAACTAATAAGGCAGATTATCAAGTCCTCATGGCTGTCGACATTTCGAAGAAACCCGGTGTGATAGCATATGGCTCTTGTCCAACGGTTGCGATTGATTGATTGTCTTGCCCGACGCAGTTGCTCAAAATCACGTGATCATGATGGGGCCGAACGCTTGAAGCCATCACGATCATCTCAGGCGTTTAAGATATGAGAGCTGGGGGCCGTACGCAGTAGTACATAATTATTTCTGAGATAAAGAAGTCATCACTCTGCTATTGGAAACCTATAATGACGAGCACTATATATTTCAAATTAAGAGTAATAAAACAAAACGTAAAAGAAAAAAGAATGGTCAATGGAGGTTCCAAAGCAGGCGCATCACGGACTACTTAAGACTTCACGACCTTCTCCCCTCGGCCACCTAGGCGGCCGACCCTTTTGTCGGGATAGTAACAAGAATAGTTCTCTATATTGCCCCTTCGGCTGTCGTCTGAGGTTGCAGATTGATGCCGCTCACATACATGCAGGGTGCCCAGCTAAACACTAGCAAATTCCCTATTATCTTGACATTAAAGGGACCTCGTCAATGCCTACCTACAGGCAATTTCCCCGAGATAATACTTTAATACTTCTTGTACGGCAAGGAGTAGGGGTGAGTTTCCCACACCCCCTAGTGAACGAGACCCGACTTCTCCTACTCACGAGACATTTCGTACGCACATGGTAAGAATTAGCTGGAGATACATAGGAAACGTCTGGGGCATTGATTTTCCGTGTTTACTCTGGGAATATGCTGCGAACCCATCTTCAACAAGATTGTCATGGGGCACACAAGACTGATACATACGTCCGAATAGCACTTTAATCTTTGCTGCTCATGATATGAAACAGCCCAAATTAGAGTGCAGTCATCTCCAACCTGAAGCAAAGAAAGCTTGCGCAGTCAGGGATACCGATCCTGGTGGTGGTGATTCCTTTCTACATGTATCTCATGGTGACTCACTCCGGTCTCTATCAGCGACTCATTGATCCTTCATGTCAACTGACAATATAGATACATGATAGTCATTAAGATAAAACAGCCATCCTCAACTAAGAGGCAACTTACACACGCCCACCTACTGCTTCGTCATCGCTTTAAGGCAGGTGATGAGGTTGTTGTAGTGGACGTTGATGTCTCGAGGAAGACGCCGGAAGAGGCAGCCGAGGAGATTCTCGATCATGTGCTCAAGATACAGAAACAGACGCCAGTCCTAGACGTTTAATTACGAATTCATCAGAAAGAGAAAACTTGGGTTAAGGCATAAATGTCTAATCTTTATGCCTCCATATGATTTCCCACCGTCCCATCGCCCCGACCGAACACGTTCAATGCTATATGAAACACTTTTATTTGGCCGTCTTCCCATCATCTATCAATGCCTCGTTATAAACCAGTCCCATCTATGCGACCACCCCGTTCGCCGCCGCCTCCTTCTCCTCGTCCGGCTGCCGCGCAGCTCCGCGCACCTCGGCCAGAACCTTGGCAATGGAGGCAAGGAACCTCGTGACCTCGTCCTCGGTACCAATCGTAATTCTCAAACACCCAAGACAGCCGTGCTCCTTACCGCGGAACCGCACTACGACGCCCTTGTTCTCCGCAAGGCGCTCATACACGGCCAACGCCGTGACGTTGTCCGGCTGGCCCGCCGCGTCCAGCATCTCGTACAACAAAAAGTTACTCTCCGTGCCGCCGCGCAGCCTGCCGACGCCAGGTACCCGGGGAAGCTCGGCAATAATACGGTCCCGCTGCGTCAGAATCTTGGCGCGGTTATCCCGCATGACGGCCAACCCCTTGTCGGAGACGGCGTACTGCGCGAGCGCGCTGGTCGGCGTGGAGATGTTATACGGCGCTTTCATGGCGTTGAGCAGGCGCGCGACGGGCGGGGAAGCGAACGCGGCGCCGAGGCGGATGCCCGCCATGCCGAACGCCTTGGAGAGGGTCTGCATCACGACGAGGTTGGGCCACTCGAGCACCCACTCGGCCATGGAGCTGCCCTCGGGCGCGAAGTCGATGTAGGCCTCGTCGAGGACGACGATGCCGTTCCACGTCGGGTGCTCCAGCACGCGCTGGACGTCCTCCTTCGCTAGCACGGATCCCGTCGGGTTCCCGGGGGTGCAGAGGTACACGAGCTTGATGTTGTTGTCCGGCTCGCTCAGCGCGGCGAGGATGCCGTCCGTGTCCATGCCGAATTCGGGGGCGGCCTTCAGCGGGACCTTGACGATGCTCACGTCGTTGATCTGCGCCGAGACGGAGTACATGCCGTAGGTGGGCGGGCACGTCAGGATGCGGTCCTTGCCGGGGGCGCAGAAGCAGCGCAGCAGGGCGTCGATGGCCTCGTCGCTGCCGACGCCGACAAAGAGGTTCGCGGGGGCGAGGTCCTTTGCCGTGTGGGTGTGGGTGTTGCGCAGGCGGCAGAGGAGCTGCTTGAGTTCCGGTTGGTGAGGGTCCGGGTAGCGGTTCAGGCCTTTGAAGTCGATGCCTAGGTTGCCGGCCTCGAAGTCGGACTGCAGCGAGGGCCCGTAGGCGTTTTCGTTTGCGTCGAGGAGAACGTTTGTGCCGTCATCTTTGTAGTCGCTGAAGAGTGGTGTCAGAGATGGGGAGTGTTTATGAGAGTCTTGTGAGTGAGCTTTTTTGGCGAGTGAGAGAAACTTACTCTCTTGCGCAGCGATAAGGCTCGAGGGCTAGAATATTCGGGCGCGCACACGTTTCGAGGTTAAAAGGCGACATTGTGGCTTGGGTATCTGGAGAGTCTATTCTGGTCAGATGCTGTGAGGATACTGAAGCGGAGTGAATCCTTATATCACCAGTTTCTCTCTCACTTGAGTACGATAGTTGACGTCGGGTTGAGTCAACTCTCGGCCACTGTAAACTGGGTCCCGACAGCTGGGCCCGCCGACCCCGGAGCCATACGTCGGCACCTGCCCGGGCCTAAGCGGGTTATCAAGAATGGCAATTGGCCAATGGGGGTTCGATATGTTGCCTCTGTCAATCATCCGAAAAAATCGATTTCTGAGATGCTCACAGGGCTCAGCGCAGATCGAGGCAACACTTGCGCGTGAAACCTGTAGGAATACTGATCGTGACCTGTTGCAATATCGGCTCAAAACAGGCACTCCGAAGCCGTCTAGCTCGGCATCGGCTCAATTTCAACGCGGGACATGGAGCAAAGTCTGAAGTGATGAAGCCGATTGATGATTTCAAGCCGCAAGTCAATGTTCGCAGACGACCTTAAGTGAGTACTGATTCGTCATACTTCTTATAATTCCAGGCTTCCCACAGAGCCGCAATTCTGATATCAAATGGACTGCATAGAGAATAAGCACTTAGATTCCCCTCCCCACGCAATTATGCAGTTGAATGAATGCATGCTCAAGTATGCTCTCAGGCTAACTCAAAAGCTTATTCGGATTCCCAAGTCAGCTTCATCCTCGTTTTCACCGGGCAGCATTCTGTGATCTTCACCATACTTACACAGCCGAGTCTTAGCATTTCGATTCAATTCGTCTTTGGGGCCAATGCCACTAGATTGAGCATGCATCTTGATCTTACCACTGACCAACCCGGACTTATGCCCCGCTCCTGGCCCGGGGTCGCGGGTCAACTGCCATCGCCTGCATTCAGCCTGAATATAGACGAGCACGCCAACACCACGGGTCTGGTCCAATTCCAAGCCAGTTTTTTTCTTGAATTACGGCAATGTCGGATGTTCATGTCGGTAGGTAGGAGAAAAACAAACAGGAAACCCCGCACAACCTATGTAGAATCCCTAGTTTGCATGACGAATAAGCCAAACAGCCCCCAACCCATTCTCCAAGGATCAAGAAGCATTTCCAACGTCGCGCCTCACCTGCCGGCCCTAGCTCCTCGCGTCGGCAGCTCGACAGAACCAAGCTAGTGCTGGACCGATGTGACGGGTATGGAGCTCGAGGATATGTTTTCCCCAACTTACCCCTCATCCATGATGATGATGGGATCTGGGGAAATTACAGATATTTGATATCTCTTCTACCGAACTCCGCATCATGCGGGTTCGTCACCGCTCTCCCGCCCTGTACGCGGGGGGAAAGCTCCTACTATCTACGATCCGGCCCATTTCATAGGCGGCCATTCTTCATCCGTCTCTGAATCGGTCGAGCTTCCCCCGCCCCTCCCGATCCTAGTGTCCCGGATGAAAGGACCTATGGTCCATCATGACGCAAGGATGTGAGGCTATGGGGGTCAAGCCATGGGTGAGAGCTATATGAACATCAATCCCCAGATACCGAAGCTATGGCGGTTGCTTATTCTGGTCCCCGCTGCCCTTCCTGACCTTTCGAAAGTGTCTGCCCGGCCGAGTGTTTTCGCCCTGCGAGTCTCTAACCGCCGTTATGCTTCCCCTCGTCATCGCAGCTCTGGCCTCGGTGGCTACGGCCTCCCAATGCGGTCTCAAAAAGTTTGAGAACCTAGTGGCCTTCGGCGACAGTTACACCGACGAAGGTCGGCTCTCGTACTTTATCAACAACAACGGCACGGCTCCCCCAGCCGGCACTCTGCTACCGCCGAGCAACTCGACTGCGAGCGGCGGCTATGCCTGGGGCCGGATCGCGGCCAACTCGACGGGAGCGAACTACTACGGCTACGCCGTCAGCGGCGCCACCTGCTCCAACAAGATCATATCGCGCGACTTCGCAGCCATCAAGCAGCCGTTTCCATCCGTGCTCGACTACGAGATACCGGCGTACAAGGCTGACACGGCCTTTGAGACGCTCTATCCGAACAGAAAGGCGGACAACACGGTCTACGCGCTCTGGATCGGCACAAACGACCTGGGCTACGGCGCGTTCCTCACCGACACCAACGCCGCCGGCACGACCATCTCCAGCTACGTGGACTGCATCTGGGAGGTCTTCGACAACGTCTACGAGACGGGCGGGCGCCACTTTGTCCTCTTGAACATCGCACCACTGGAGCAGTCGCCGCTGTACGCCGCGACGGGGCCGGGGAAAAGCGGGTTCGGGAACAGCCAGTTCTGGACCAACAAGACGGCGTACAATACGACGGAGACGGAGTTCAAGATGCTCGAGTACAGCACCAGCGTCAACACCATGTTTGACTACGGCGCGCCGTTCCACCTGCTCGTCAAGAAGCGCTGGCCCGGGGCGAGATTTTCAATCTTTGACGTGCACTCTCTGCTGCGGGACGTCCACGCCGACCCTTCGAGTTACCTATCGTCGCCTGCGAACGTGACGGCACCGTACCGGACCTGCGATGCAGTGACTAGGGCCTGCGTTGACTCGTCGGAGGCCAAGTCGAGCTTTTTGTGGTATGACGAGTTGCATCCTTCGGAACGTGCGGGTAAGTCTAGGGTGTTTAGCGGGCTCTTCTTTTTGTATGGATGTTGGGCTAACGGAAGTGATATCGAAAGACGAGATTATAGCGCAGAACTTCATCGACGTTGTGTACGGCAACTCGACGTACGGCACAACATATACGTCGTGAGGGCCTCGTATCCGGCCAGCTACTGTCGGGTGGGGTTTATGCTTGAAGGATCCATGGGCTGGTGGCAATGTTGGAGGTAAGATTAATGGGTAATGGGATGAAGCCTTTAGGATGTCTGTCTTGAGAGAACAAGAGTCGGCATGTAATGGTAGGAAATACAAGGAAGTCTAGGAACTGCAGGAAGGTCGATCTGGCCTGGTCCCTGACCTGGCATCAGGGCGTCTACTTAGCTTTCGGTGAAATACTAGGTACTTAAGGCTCCAGCAGGTACTGCGATGCCAGACCATGCGAGGTGCTTCGTCTAGCGGCAGACACCTTCCTAGTCTCGACATTTAGACGTATTCAGAGGTGCCATATCACATCACTGCAAAGCGATTCTCAATCTTCCCAGTGTGACTTTGAATCATGCTAGTCTCTTACTTGCAGGATGAATGCTCTCTGCTAATCAAATTCTCGAGCATCAACAAAGGTACGGCTACAAGGTACCGGTAGGTAATTGATTCAATCGTGCCTTCCATTATTCTTCAGAAGTTTGAGGAAGGGGAGGGAAGACATGACCCTTGCCGACTGCAGGCACATCCCTGTCATGTTGGAGTGGAGTCTTCGCTTTAGTCCAATCAAAGGGCAGTTTCGCCTCGGCTCTTCGACTGCTCGAATAACGTCCCGAGGTACGTACTGGCCACCTTTCGCACCTTCTGGGTTCCAAGCGCAGGTTCGCAACAGGTTTCCAATGACCCCGGCGCGTGCCCCCCTCCACCCCTTCCAAGAACGCCCCGCCGTTTCTCAAGCTCCCCCAAGGGCCCATGTGGAAAAGCAACGCAGGAAAATTCTGTTTCTGCCTTTCCACGTCCCTCTTGCCTATGAATGCCTGGTTGACACCTCACACAACACGACACACCGACACCCCGATATCTCGCTCGCTCGCTCCCTCACACACGCGGCTCCCTCATTTCTCACACACCCAGACAATATTAATCGCCGGATCGCAACTGGACTGGAACTCTAGACAAGGTTACCGCCGCGCCGCCACACCCGCTCTCACCTTTACCTCACCTCACCTCATCTCACCTTGCCTTACCGCACACCGACACACCGATACCGTGCCGTGCCGTTCCACGCCTGGCCTCCCTATCCGTACCTTACCTTACCTCTCTCTCTCTCCGCTTGATGCTCCACGCCCGCCGCCACTCACACCAAGGCCGAATCTGAGGTCCTTTCTGTTGTCCTGTCGTCGTGTCAAACGTACGCAAAGGGTTGCTTTGCGTCCTGTCCCTTCGCTTCCAACCGCACCCTACCGTGCCGTCTTGCGCCAGCCACCCACCCCTTCCGCTCTCCGCGTATCCTTCTATCTTACCTTTACTTTCTAAAAAGGTACCTACCGCGTGGGACCTTGCCAGCTTGCCTACCTTACGGATACTCCGTACCTTATCCAGCTCGACGTCGTTCCTGATTCAAGTGGCAGCCCGGCGCAGACTACCACCCGATTGCCATCTGCTTGCTCTAGTCTTGTCTCACCGGCCCGCGCTGTGGCACTTTTTGGGGACGCTCCTTGGCTCCTTCTTTACCAGATTGGACATTGTCAATCATCGAGCAATTACGGATACGCTTCTCACAATCCCTTCCTGCCTCATCTCTCACTGGCAACCTCTCATCTGGCGCCCCATCACTCCACGTCATCTCCCACCCATTACCCGTACCAAGCCCTTCACCCTTTCTCACCGTACCCATCTCATTCACTTTGGACCCCTGATTTCCACATTCTCACACCCCCGTGTGCTCTACTTCCCTCTACTTACCTACTGTACCTACTGAGAGGTTTACCTAAGGTAGTGGACGAGTACGGACGAGACCGAGACAAACAGGGCCGGCCTCATCCCAGCCCCCAGGTACCTTATACCACTACGCCATACCAAACAGCCAGGTACCCCCGAGTGCAGAGACAGGAACTGCTGGATTCGCTCCGTATGCATGGTTGTACCTTAATACGCAATACATCCATCATTGGCAAGTCGCAAGCCGATTCAATCCGCTCCTAGGCCAAAGAGTCTGGCTGTCAGTTCGCTCACAGTCTATCGAAGAGACAAGCCAGCCCATTGACGCCGGACGATACAACCCCTGTCCCCCACCGCTCATCACGCACGTCAAGCAGCAAGTAAACGAGCCAGTCATCCCGCCAGCCTAACAAACCTGCGGCCCGGACAGGCCAGGACCACCTCGCTTTACTCCACGCACTCCCCGCCGCCCGCCCGCCGTTCTTCTCTCTTGTTGCGATCGACTTGACGAAACGTCGCCCGCCCGCTACGGCCGCGCCTCTCCCTCACCTCCTCCGCCCAGTTTAGGCCAACCCAGTCCAACCCAGCCAAGCGCGAGACAACAAGCGAACCAGCCAGCCAGCCAGCCAGCCCGTGTCTGACCGAGTCTCAAGCCCGAGTCTGTTGCTACAGTACCTTATCCGTACGGATACACGCTCACGCTCTTCTCGACTAGGCCCCTTGGGACCCCCCCGTTCAACCTGTTCCTTGGGACCATCGCGTCAAGCAAGCCCCGTCCCCCCAAAACCATAATAATAATAATAGCTCCGCGCCCATCCTATCCCATCCCGTCCCAGCCATGTACGCTCCCGGCTACGGCTTCTCCAATGTCCCTCCGAACTTCAACACCAGCGCCCCACCTCCAAACCAGAACCCTCACATGCAGCCAGGCTCTGTCCCAACCCAGCCGGGCCAGCAGATGATGTACAACCCTAATCAATTCGCTGGTATGCCCGGAGGCCAGCCCGGCTTCGTCGGCGGTCCCAATCCCGCCATGATGTCGGGCGCTGGCCCTGCAGGCATGATGCAGAACGCCGGCATGCCACACATGGCTGCCAATGGTCAGAGTGAGCTCCCCCTTCCTTGCCCTGTCTTTGCCCGTGTGTGTGTCCACGTCTCGCCATCGGTCAGAGAGTCTCGTATCTGCGTCACGCCCTCTGATGCTGCCTCGTGGCAGCATGTATTGCCCGTCGATGATCGAGACAAAGATCGTGGTGCCACGAGATCGCGTCTGTCTTGCAGTCACTCCGTCACCATAGTCATCATCATCGTCAACGGACACCCGCCAAACGACATGGCACCACAGCATCTTCCAGCATCTATCCATGGGAACACGCGTTTGCTAACATCAATGTCTCTACTAGTGGGCTTCCAAAACCCTTACCAGGGCAATCCATACGGCGGCAACATGCCCGCGCCGGGCAGTCAACATCCCAACTTTGGAGGAATGCAAGGCTTCCCGATGAATGCGGCGGGGATGACGCCTCAACAACAGCAGCAGATGATGATGCAGCAGCGCATGCAAGCGCAGCAGGCACACCAGCAGCAGCAACAACAACACCAACAAGGGCAGGGACAAGGAAACCATGGAAACCAAGGCGGCATGCAGTTGGGCTCGACACCTCAGAGGCCGATGAGCGCGGCGCAAGGTGGACAAGGCTCTCCAAACAATGCGATGCAGCAACAGCAACAACAGCAGCATCAGCAGCACCAACCTCAACATCCCCAGAACCCTCAGCAGCAACACCAGCAGAACCAGCAACATCACCAGCAACAGCAGGGTCAGCAACAGCAGCCGCCACAATCGCAAAACCAGCAACAACAGCATCAGCAACAACAAGCTCAACATCAACAGCAACAACAGCAACACCAACAGCAGCAGCAGCAGCAGCAGCAACAACACCAACAGCAGCAAGCACAGCAACAACAACATCAGCAAAACCAGCCTCAACAACAACAACACGCGCAACAGCAACAGCAGCAGCACCATCCCACATCGCAACCTCAATCACATGGCCAGACTCCTGCGGCGTCAGCGCACCAGCACTCGGCTTCCATCGCGTCCGTGACGACCCCTCAGACCCCGACATTCCCTCAACATAACCAGAACCCGACTGCAAATGGCACATCGTCGGTATCGACGCCACTTAGTCCCGGCAGCGAGTCCCGCGAACAGGAGAGGTTTTCACTGTTGTTGGAGATCAATCAAGAGCTGTTGTTCGAGTCGATGCAGTTGCAACACACGCTAAGTGAGTTGAAGAAAGAGACACCAGGAGAAGGAGATCAGGCGAGGAAACCGACCCAAGAAGAAGGGTCGGTTCAGCAGGACTACAGCCAGTAAGTCACTAAGACAGACATGAGATGGAAAACAAAGGAATACTGACACTTTTCTTTCACAGTTGCATGCGACGACTTCAAGCGAATCTCGCATACCTAGCCGCTTTGGCCGATCGCAAGGGAAACGTCCAGGTTCCTCCATCGCCCGCTTACCTATCCTCCCCGCCACTGAATATGGCGCTCAAGATCCGAAACTCAACTCCGCCAGGCGACATTCCCGAGAACAATCCAGACCCGATGACAGACCGCGAGGAACGATCCAAATACCTATCTGAGCTGTACAGAAAGCTTCAAGCGCTGTTTCCAAATGCGGACCCCAAGAAGGAGCCACCGTTCCAGGCCGCGGGCCGCCCTCAGGGTCAACCGGGGCAGCAGGGACAAGGTCAGCGGCCGCCGAGCCACCACGCGAGCCCCGCCATGGCTCAAGCTCAACGGCCCATGCAAATGCAGAACATGCCCGGAGCACATCAGCAGCAGGGCATGTCTCTATCATGATCAAGGCGTGAGGAAGCGACATGGATCGGACTCGGCCATTGGGTAACATGGTGGCGTTCAGGACCCTAGGGAGATGTATAAAAGAAAAATAAGTCACAGTTTTTGGCGCGGGTGGCGGGTTCTCCCGCTGGCGCCCTCTACGTTGGAGAGCCATAGCTGGAGATGTCCGCTACAAACTTTGTTGCGTTTGGAGCTGTACGAGGTGCAATCGCGCGGCGTTTGATGGATTTAGAGGAGGCCGTCAGCCAAGTTTGCATAGACTATACTCTTTGGAGCCGATGGAGTTGCGGCATACTGTGTGTTATATAGGTCGGCATAGGGGAAGCACATTGGCTCGAAAGAGGTGGATGAGACGAATTGAAGATTGGATAATCAAAGGGCAGGGGCTATGTTGTCTTGTGAATTGTCACTGATGTGTGTGCTTATTGGATCCTCGCGACCCCAGGATCGGATATGTTCTGACTCGGGCCGGTGACAACCGATACCGAGACAGCTTCATCGACGGCCGTGCCATTCTATGCGGTTTGTTGCGGTTGTACAGACATTAACTAACACAACGCGATGAAGTCATTCATGGATGTGTATCATTGAGAGAGAGGCATATGTGCCAACACCATCGAATTGTCTTAACTTGGATGATATTCACGATCGTATTAGGATAGATCGAGATATATTTTATGTATACGATAATCTCTCGATACCAACATATCTCTATCTATAGAGTCTATGGAGAGGTGCGCTTGGGGCTTGCGCAAGGACAACAGGCAGGTGGTGTAAGGAGAACCTCATAATCCCGCGCCACGGCAGGTTTTGTATCTGACGCTGTCTGTCCCGAGTGAATGGCATACTCTTACACGTCTGTGGGTTTTCCGAAGGGCCGTGGGCTGGAGCTATGGTACGGTGCCACTGGCCCCCCCCCCCCTGCTGTCCCATCGTTATGAAAAAGGATTTGGGATATGCAGACTCTGGATGGAAGCTACGGGATCTGAACCGTAGTGTCTGTGTGTACATGGAATTCGGAAATGCAAGAAAGTCTCATGGTGGCAATATTGAGAGTTTAGGCAGCGGAGATACGTAGTGATGGCATTCTCTGTACCTGCGCGGATACGCATGTTGCGTGTATGCGTACCATGCCTTGTCTACGAAGTGTACATCTTTTGTGGATCGTGGATATCCAACAGGTTTACGGATGCTGTGAAGTCACTGTAGTACGAAGGCTGAAGCCGAGGAAGGACCCCTTGGACCGCTCGTTGGGCTGGGCGTTTGTGGATGCGGTTGGGTACTCGGTAATACCCGGCAAATGGGAGGAGGGAAGAGAAGAAAATCACGAAATGATGAACAGAGTGGAACCCGAAAGCTCCCCGCCGGCGTGTTTAATCCCAGCGTTTGTCATTCAGCCTTCTACTTCGTAGATGTTAGACTCTGGACTGGAGGATGGGTTGGGAGATGACGGAAATGTGCCTGCCGTCGTGCAGCACGCGTGGAAGCTTGTTTCTGTGCAGGTGTGCTGCAGCTTGCAGGAGGGGGGGGTGGAGCATGGCCCGTGATTGGATTGCTGACGGGTGCTAGCGGTCCCGTACCTTGCAGAAAGTGGCTGCTTGTTTTTTCCCCCCACGCGTGCCTTTTTTTGCTGCTAATTTCGTCTGAGCTTTCGAGATGATTTGTTGTATTTTCTCTTGGGTTGGTCTGGCCAGCCACGGTCTAACAGATAGATAGCTATTGGTCCTTTGTTTCGTTGGCGGTGTTGATCCTTTTTGACCGTTGGTGCTAGAAATAGGGGGTTTGGTGATAGGAATTGCCATACTCCGTACAATTGATGCTGTTCATGATCAAGCGAGGTACGGATACCCAGGTAGGCGAGCGACGAGCGGCGAAGTGATGTAAACAGTTCCCGGGTTACACGTCAGACAAGAGGGCGAATGAGCGCGTAGGATTCGCGGTTTTTCGTTTGTGAACCCTTACCCCCGGTGCCCGCCCCCTTGGGAAATTGAGTTCCCCTCTCTTGCTATCCGGTTCATATGAAAATGTTGTCATCAATTAAAACGCTTCTTACCCGGGCATCGCGTCGTTTGTCAACTCGCTCCATGGCGTCCGAGGCTGCCTAGCTGCATTCTGGGCAATAGTCATCCGTGGACACACTTCGTACATGCATAGGTAGTATCTTGTTTGCGAGCTCCCTTTCTCTCATGACCGCCCTGTGATGTGACCATTGAATTCCATACCCAAACGATGAAAGGGAAGCATGCAAGTGGAAAGAACATGCCACAGCAGGGCTCTAGGTATCATCTATCCGTAGTTCCCTTTCCCCAGCATGGATTCCCGAGTCCCCCTTTGACCGCTCACTTCATTCCAGACCAGTCGAGATTCGCCCAATCCCCATTGCCAACGCAACCCAATCTCATCTGATCATCACCCCTCTGCCTTGCCCCCTGTCGCACATCCCGCATTCTTTCGTATGTGCCTATTCATCAGACCAAGACTTTTTTACTACCCTGTGAGACCACTACTCCGTACTGCAACACCACCACCACCAAAAAGCCGCCACCAAGCCCTTGGGGATCGACCGGGCTTGGAAACAAACGCCACCTGGTATCCGCGGTGATCTTAGCTAAACCACACTCGAGCTTCCCAAGCTATCCGCGCTAGAATAGGCGAACTCTTTGGCCCTGGCAACGTCTGAACTGCCACTGCCTGACTGCTCAGCTGTGGCTGCCTCTTTCTCTCGTTCGGATCTTTCAGTGACCGCCTCCCCCTTCCCAAGTCCACGTCTCCCGGTGGCACAGGGCCTGTCTGTAGTAGTAAATCCAAAGTGCAAGTGGAGGAAGTACCTACGGATTACAGAGGGAGAAGCTGCCCGCTGCTGCCCTGCGGAGTACTCTGCAAGAATAGACTGAGGTGCTATCCAGGAGATTCGAGAGGCTGCAATTGCCAGTCCATCGGCATCCACCTACCCTGGGCCGCCCACCCCAGCGTTTCAGCGTCCTTGGCCCCTCGATGAAACGACATAACCACAGGAGCACTTGACCAAGTTGACTGACACGCCTGCAGGCCCAATCCCAATCTCAATCCCCTCCTGTCGCCGTCCAATCCTTTCTTGATTCTTCCAGGTTGACTCTTCCAAGCTCCCGGTTCTCCCTCCAGTTCCCATTCAATCCCTCAAAGTTCGCCCTTTGCCCTCTCGACTGTCCCAGGCTTACCTACTCATCATCCTCCCCCCGACTTCGCTCGTGGCTCTTCCAAGGAGGCTGCCCATCTGTGGATTCCCCCCCGTTTTCTTTTTTCCCCCTCCCGCTGCTGCGCTGCCGTGTCGTTCGTTACTCGATACCCCCTGGCTCTCCATTGAACAAGGAAACCGTTGGAGGAGATATTTCGGGACCCAAAGCCACACCCACCCGCCGTTGCAGCAAGCAGCAGCCAGCCAGTCACTTTGTTGGACACAACCACCACCCGCACCGAGTCTTGCTCTCTCTGCTTGCTGTGTTACCGCTGCCAACCTTGTGCACATCCCTGATCATCCGCATTGCTTGTGGCTTTTCAACTCATTCTCCTGCCGCTCGCCCTCCTCCCCCCTACCCCGTACGCAATTCATTGGGTACGACAGTCTTTGGGCTCGCGAGCCGCCCACCGAGAACGTTGAACCACATCGAGCTTCGAATTCGGGGAACTTGTCGAGAGACGAGATTGGCCTGCGATTTTATGAGTCTTGGAAACAGGGCCACGGCCGCGCGCACTTGTCGTCGTTGACCGTCCTACACGCATACTGTAGGATCACCTTCGACGAGTCCACATTCCAGTCCCTACTGTGATTTCTTGTTGCGAAAACACCAATCAAGCAGCCGGGCGGCCTGGCCATGGACCTGGCGCTGCAGCAACGGGATGAGGTCGACCACAACACCGAGCTGACGCATGCCAAACCCGACACGAGACCCGCTGCCGCCAACGCCAACGCCAACCAAGACGACGACGACCACCGGGAGACGACGCCCAAGATGTTGGCCCACGATTCCATGGTCACTGTCAGGCTTTCCGAGCCGCCTACTCTGACCCTCGACACCAATGTTGGCCCCGATTCACCCCCGAGGAGGAGACCTAGCACTGTCAAGATTGAAAAGCTTCCCTTCCCGACAGAGACGCTAGAGGTCAAGGCTCAGAATCAGCCAGAGGACGAGACCGACGACACGCCACCCAGCGACCCTACGACGCCGTTACCTGTTACGAACGCTACTCGGAATCTTCAAGACGAGCTTGTGGACTGCGAGGACGAGGCCGAAGAAGAGGGAGACCGCATCACTTCACTACCAGCTAGGGGAACCCTACTCGAGACGCCCATAGAATTTAAGAGGCCCGTGGTGGACGAAGCTGAAGAAGAGGACGAGGAGGAAGTCAATTGGGACGAACTGCAGAAATCCGAAGCACAAGAACCTAGGGACGCGGATACAGACAGAGTAAGTGCATGCTGTGGCTACTCCAACAGTAACTTTGTCGAGGCTCACAGTTCCTAGTCTACAGCCATGTTGCTGGCCATGCTAGAGCAGGAAAACGATAAGTTGGCGACGAACCCCAAGACCATCAAAGTTCAAGCCGTGGAACAAGTGGCCACTTCCAATCGCCCGAGACCGCCATCAATGGCACAATTACGACACATGGTCCACGGGCCAACGCCACCGGCATTGCGATACTCGATGCTCCCGCCGCCACCAATGACCGATCTCGAGTTTTACGCCGCATTGGTCAAGGACTATCAACAGACGGCAGCTCGATTGCCAACGCTTCTATCGAACAAGATACGCAAAGGCATCCCCCCTCCGCTACGAGGCGTTGTATGGCAAAGCATGGCAGGCGCAAGAGATTCCGCACTCGAGGAGCAGTACGAGCGATTCACGGGCGAGTCGAGTCCCTACGAGCCCATTATCGGCAAGGACCTTGGTCGGAGTTTCCCTGGAGTCGACATGTTTCGCGACCCCGAGGGCGACGGACAACGCATGCTCGGCCGGGTTCTCAAATGCTTCAGTCTCTACGATACGAAAATTGGTTACTGTCAAGGGCTGGCTTTTCTTGTTGGCCCTCTCTTGATGCACATGCCCGATAAACAGGCATTTTGTGTTTTAGTCCGGTACGTGTCAAAATCCCAAAAAGCAAACCCGACCAGCCGCCCGACCCCCCTCACCCGATTTCCTGGGAAAAGGGGTCCGAGAGAAAAAGCAAAACAAGGTTTCGATGCAAATGCAAATGCAACGTTGAGGCTAACATGTTGAGATGGGCAGATTGATGGAACGATATGATCTGCGAAGCTGTTTCCTGCCAGACCTGTCAGGACTGCATGTCCGCATCTACCAGTTTCGAGAGCTTCTTCGAGAGCACATGACACCAGTATCGAACCATCTGGAGGAATTGCAAGTCGATCCGGCGTACGTTTCACAATGGTTCCTCAGCTTTTTTGCTGTTACATGTCCCCTGCCGATGCTGTTTCGCATCTACGATGTCATCTTTGCCGAGGGGGCCCCGGAGACCCTGATGCGGGTCGCCCTATCCCTGATGCAGAAGAATCAAGCCCGGATTTTAGCGTGCACCGAGCTCGAGGATGTCATGCAACTTCTCCTTTCGAGGGGTCTGTGGGATTGCTACCATTACAACGCAGATGAATTTGTGCAAGACTTTGTCAGTTTATCGGGCGTTGTCACCAGAGAGACATTGCTACAGTTGGAGCAGGGGTACAGAGACGCGCAAATTGCTAGCGCTAATGCGGCGCGTTCCTCCGACGTGACCACTGCAGCCTCCCGATTCCTCGGCCGCATTTGGGCTTCCTCCACCATCATCTCCCCGAAGTCCTCCTCCACCCTCAGCCCGGGCCTCACCGCTCCGTCACGGCCTTTGAGCATGCTGCGCAGGAGCACATCGAAGCAGAGCCTGGCCTCCACCCTCAATTCGATGGAAGCCAGCTCCGTCAGCGTTCTCAGTTCTGCATCCACCGAAGCCACCACCGTCTCCCGAGATTCATCAAACACCGACAGCGCATCCATCCGCGAATCGACGCCCATCCCTAGCGGCGGCAAGGCCTTCAATGGCGGCAAGAACAACAAGGAGAATGCACTGCACACCCAGATCGAAGACCTCCTCACTGCATTGACCGAATTGCAACGAAACCATGCATCGCTCGCAAACGAACTCCAAAAGGAACGGGAACAGCGCGAGGACGATAAGCAGGCCGTCCGGTCGCTACTGGACGGTCTGCGCAAGAAGGCCAGCAACGACTCTGTCGGTACCGATGCGAGCGTCGATACTCTCAAGGCGACCGATGACCCCGCAAATGAGGCACGCGAGGGAGGCGAGGGAGATGTGTCCACTGCCAAGACAGGCGAGCAAGATACCCCGTCACCAGGAGACCTATCACAACTCCTCGATAATGTCGAAGAACGATTTGGGCGCCATGGCGGCGTCGGCGTCGAACGCAGAATGTCCAGAGGCGAATCCAAATCGCAAATGCAACAGGAATTGCAGCAACTCAAGGACCAGCTCGCCAGCGCGGTATCACAGTCTCAGGACTACAACCGAAAAATGCACGACCTAGAACAAGAAATTACAACACTTAAGGATCAAGTGCGGGAATCCCACTCGCATACACGCATCTTGCACCAGGACAAACAGCGACTGGAGAAGCAAATACACACGATGAGAGCGCGGGCATCCGCCGCCGGTGCGGAGAGTAATACTCAGCCCGATGGTGATTCGCCTGTGAGGAAGAGTTCTGCTAGTGGTGCGAGCGGCTTGAGAGAGTTGAAGCTTGGTAGGAGCAAGTCAACCCCGTCCCAAGCTGGATCGATATTCAGCAAGCGTTCCTCGTCAATGCCGAAGCCTCACGACTCGACGCCACCACCGGCTACACAGGCGCCGCCTCCCGTGCCGGCTCCGCCACCGACGGATGACCAGCACGAGGCGTTGCTGTTGGAGCTTGTGCAGGCCAAGACTTCCGAAGCTATCGCCAGGCAAGAGGCCGAAGAGACGAAACAGAAGCTTGAGAGCTTAAGAAAGGCATACAGCCTCGTTACTGGAGAGGCAGCACAGGCACAACCTGCAGCAACGGCGGCAGGAGCGGCAGCGTCAGCGGCCATGGGCGTATTTGGTCGCCTCACGGGAGCAGCGGCAGAGCCCGTCAAGCCCGTCAAGCCTGCCACGCCGACGCCCGCCCCAGCAGCAGCAGCAGCAGCCGCAGCAGCTCCCGCGCCCGCGGCGGGAGGCTTCTGGGGTTGGAGGAGATAACCAGGACCCTGTTCGACCTCTTTCATGATCACATCGGCGTTCCAAACCACAACAAAATTAGAGGAGCATTCGGAGCATCTAGATTATTTTGCATTCTGGTTCTTGCAACGGGTACCAGGCCCGTCTGCTTGTCACACCTTCATCACTGCATTCGGAAAGACAGGGCAAGATGGCGGCTTTTTGCATCTGTGGAAGTAGGCCTGCTCCACGCCTGGAGGAGCATTCTTTTTCTTCTTCTTTTCGAAACACAACCCATTGCACGGCATTGGCATTCTAGACTGTTTACTGATTTTTATTATTCCATTCATACCATTCATGGCATCGGAGTTGAAGAAAGGGCACTTTCCAGACCCCGACGGCGGGAGCGGACGGATTATCGTCTCCGCCCTTTATGAAACTAGGGATGCCCGCCGGCCCCATTTGTTTGTTTTCAAAATCCTCTCTCCTCCTCCTTCCCCCCTCATGAGCAGGGAGGGATTTGGAGGTTGTATCGGAGGAGCAGGACCTTTTTTTGTCAAAATACAGATAGTATCAGAATACCAGTGGGAAAGAAATTCAGAGTCATGAAGGGATAATCAACCAATACCATGAATCAATCCACGATACGCTGCAAAGTGACTGCCAATGTGTCCTCTCCTGAGTAGATTAGCTACAAGGCGATCTCCATAGCATCTGGAAAGTAGAGCTGTAAAAGTGCAAAGCTACCCTTATCAGTGGTCTGTGAGTTCAACACCCCCATGCCCATGCCCATGGGGGGGGGGGGGATGGGGACTGGAAAAGGCGAACCCCTTTTTCTTTTGACCCGTTTGGGCAACATCGTGGGTCCTTGATGTTGCATCTGCAGCAGTTTTGGGTTTGCTTGGCTTTTGGGTGACCCATGTCGTGAGTTAGGTATCTGTTCTGTCTGTGCTTGGGACCACCCTCCAAAGTGTGGCGGTGCGGTGCTGCGATGGTAGGATGGTGTTGTTTTCACATGTGATAGCTGTGGCGCAGGAGACTGATTTATTTACTTTATACACTACCCTAAGAAAAAAAAGCTGGGATGTTGCTGGTTTGGCGTGCATGTTGCCGTGGTAAGAGTGGATTTCGATGCTCTGTTTACTATCTTTTTTTTTTTTTTTTCCTTCTCTTCTGATATTCGTTGTCTAAGAGACTGATGGGTCACTTTTGGTGATGGAGAATATCGACGCTCTGGTCAGCTTTTTTTTCTTTCCGTTTGGTGGTGGTGTGTGTTTGACCGAGACATTCTCGCTCGCATGGGAGGGTTTTGTAAGCCCTTTTATTCGGCTGGATAGATGCAGCAGCCACGACTACCTTACCGTAAGGTAGATTACAAAAGTGGTACATGTGGTCCCGTGAAGAAGCATACCTTAGCTCTAGTGTTGACTTGTCACTTGGAAAAAGACATGTCAAGTGTCAAGTGACAAAATGAAGAACACGGTCTCTGTCAAAACCCATCCATCGCCTTATCAGGGTCCGGTGGCAGCGTTTGGCACGTGTAGAGAAGGGTAGCTGGGGGAGCTGGGGCACGTGCCGCAAAGACCGGGCGTTCAGGTCTGATTCACGGCCGGCGCGGTAGAGAGGACGGACGGCCGGTGCGGGCTACGACTGATGTTATTTTGTGGCTTGCCTGTGCTTGAATGGCAAGTAATGGAAAGGATGGGTTCGTCTGATGGCTGTAGCTTCATTTGCAACGGCGAGCTGGCGTGTGAGCGTTGCTGGCGGCGGGGATCATAACGAAGTCAAGGAAGCCCTAGCTGTCGTATCTCAGAGGCTATGAGTGATGTGCTGGCAGGTCGTCAGCTTTCAGATGTGCTCGGGATGTCCTGGATCCAAAGGTTGGGCGTCTGAGCAACGGATAAGAAGGCTCTTTGAAGTTGTAATGTACGGGAGGGTCGAGGTGATATCGTGAGTTTTTTTTTTCTTGTGGTTGCTTGGGAGTGGTGGAGGGGCTGAAAGTGGACGGGCCACACGGCGGCGCTAGGGAGTGGGTAGCTTGTGTGTTGCTTGTGAAGCTAGGACCAGGCTCGATCATCGTGGGTACCAAAAGTAACAAAAGTGAGTACGCAGTAGTAGGTATGCTTCTCCAACCTCTTTGAGTAATGTGCCACGAGAGGAGGGTTGGGTGAATGAACAGGCTGGCTTCTTTGGTAACGACGTAACCTGGAACGGGAATCACGGTGGCTTGCGTGCGTGGCCCGTCTGCAGTTGTGGCACGGTAATGAGGACACAACGAACGGCCTGGCGCAAAGGTGAAGAGACTGAGAGAGAGGAGGGTGGCGGGCAGCTTGCATCAGATATCAGCGAGATGCCATGGTTTCAGGATTTCCAGGATTTTGAGGTGATCCCTGGTCGCTTCAGCCGCTGCAGTCATTAGGTAGTGTAGAATACCTAGTGGGCAGCTAATTCTAGACCTCTGTGAGCAGGAAAGAAGGCTGGCAGCAATGGGAGGAAGAGAGAGGAAAATGCAGGAGCACGTCACATGCCTGCTGCATAACTAGCGGCCAACGAGGGACGCTACGCAGTGGGATGACGCCAAAGACGGAGGGAAGACTGACATGATACTTCGTCATTGGCGGACACGGCGTAGCAATTGTATGGCGGCAGAGCCCCTTGGAGCGCGTCTTGGGGGGCGCCTAGGGAGGTAGTCCGTAGGTACCGAGCGATTGGTTGCTGTGGCATAGCTTTTGCGTCATCACAGGTCGGAAACCAAGCTGGGCACGCAGTACCTACGCAGTACGCAGCAACTTGACGGGCACTAGCCACACCCCGACCCGCCGCCCCTCTTTTTTTGTCGTTCCCCGTCTGCGTGCTGCGTGCGCTCGCCAGTCTCTCTCTCTCTCTCCACTATGCAGTCATTGGTATTCGTGCTGCAGTGCGATACCTTGAGTAGGTGTTCGTATACGGAGTACCGGTGGTGTAGGAAATGGTGTAGGACGAGCAGTACTACGGGGTATCTTTGACGGGAGTGTGAAATAAGGGAGAGAAAGCTCCTCTACGTGGGTCTTTTCCCGGCTAGTAGGTCCTGTTTGGGAGAAAACAGCGTCACTGCCTCTTGCCAAATTCCCAGACGGGACGGAGGTGACGGACTGATGGAGTTTCCCATTGCTCCTTCTCGGGTCATTTCTTACGCAGTACCTTAGTCCTGCCGCTGTTGCTTTGCTTCTTGAGGTATTCTTTGCTCCCGCTGGCTGGCCCGCCGCCGCCCTGGGCTTGTCCTGGCAAGCCTGGCCTGCCCGGCGTTGGCACGGACGCTCCCAGTGGGCTCTGCGGTGCTCCTTTCTTCTTGATCTTCATTTACATCACTGCCACCCAGCAGCAGCACCACCACCAGCAGAAGAAGCAGTAGCAGCACTGCCAATATTCGTACCTTACCTTCCTACCAACCGAGCCACCTCTCTCTCACACACAAAGTCTTTTTTTTCCCTCCCCCCCCCGTCCTTGCCCGTGCTTTTTTCCCTGACCTTCCACCTCCTGCTGCCGGTCTTGCACCCACCTGGACCTTACCCACCCACACAATCACAAACACACGCCCTCACCTTTCCGGTTTACACCTCTGCCTGAGCTTCCAGACCTACCTTACCTACAGGCTACACACATCATTGCAACAAAAACACCTGGCCTTCCTCTCTTCTCCTCCTACCTACCTACAAACCTTCTTCTACATCTCAAGAACTTCTCAATACCCCAAAGCTTCTGCCACTTGCTTCTTACCAAAGCTACTCTCTTCCATCCCACCCAAGCTTCGATTTCTTGAAACGCAAACAAGGTAGCTTTCTAGCAACTCCACCATCACACGACACCTTCCATCCGCAACTGCCCGACCGCAGTATTTCCTCTCCTAAACAACAACACCACACATACATCGCCAGAATCCTCGTTGCGATCACACACAATGTCTGACTTCCCGGACGCCCCTACCACGGCTCCTTCTGCCAACGGTACTTCCTACATCCAGGCTACCAAGGAGAGTAAGGTACGTTATCGCTGTCCCTCGAGATCCCGCCATTCCCGCTCCAGATCTCCCCCCTCATGCGAACATCCGGCTAACTTGTGCGAATAGTGTTTCAAGCTTCAATCCCCATCGCCAGCGACCATGATAAGCTAACAGTTCCCTTCCAGACGCTGCCGCTGCCTACCAGCAGGTCGCTTCCGGTACGTTTTATTTCCCCACGTCTCCCTCCCATGACGTCTTTGTGGCGCATCGTCAAATACTGACCAGAATCCTCCCTTTCAGGCCCCGTTGCCCAGAGTGTCAAGGACCAGTCCGCAAAGACCTCAAATGAGTTCGGCAACCTTGCTGCCTCTCGCAAGACGCCCGCCAACCCCGCTGCCACCGGCCAGCCCTTGACTCACTACCACTCCTTCTTCTTCGAGCTTATCTCGTGGAACAACCCTCGTACGTGATAGCTCGGACTCCTTCCGGCCCCCGACCCCGACTGACAAACCACCCCACAGGTGCCTCGGCCATTGCCTACTCCTCCATCGTTGCCCTCATCTTCGCTGCTCGTTACCTCGATGTTCTGCGATACAGCTTGAAGCTCACCTGGATGGTGCTCGGCACCACCGTCCTTGCCGAAGTCGCCGGCAAGCTCGTCCTCAACAACGGCCTTGCTACCCAGCTCCGCCCCAGACGCTACCACGTCATTCCTAGAGAGACGCTCGATGCCGCCATAGGAGACGTTCACGAGCTGATCAACTTCTTCGTGATTGAGGCTCAGCGCATCGTCTTCGCCGAGAACATTGGTGCTTCTGCTGCTGTAAGCTGCTCGCGTGACAATCTCCACAATTCTTGACATCATGGTGACTGACGCAATTTCTTACCACAGGCCTTCATCGGTTCCTTCATTGCCTACTACCTGGTCAAGATTGTTCCCTTCTGGGGCCTTTCTCTGATTGCCACCACTGCGCTCTTCATGGTCCCTCTTCTCTACACCTCCAACCAGGAGCTCATCGACGCCCAGCTCAACCGCGCCGGTGAGGTGATCAACCAGCAGACCAACCAGTTCCGCACTGTCGCCAGCAAGCACACCGCTGAGGCCACCAACATCACCAAGCAGTACATGGGAGATTACACCGCCAAGGCCCAGCAGCTGCTCGGCCGCCGCTCTGCTTCCCCCGAGGCTGTTTCCAAGCCCGCCCGTGTTCCTTCCGCAGACACCGCCATCCCCTCTGTGGAGGAGAAGGACTTCCCTTCCGCTCCCAAGGCCGATTTTGAGAGCACCACCACGGAGCCCGTTGTCCCGGGTGCCGCGGAGAAGACCCCTATGGTCGCCTCCTAAACATCTCATTCGTTTGGTTTTCTGAGTGTATACAGGCCGGCAAGCATTCGCGATTTTCGCGTTATGCCACCGGCTTGACGACAACGGAATGACTCACGAAGAACATGAATGGGATCATGCACACCACTTTTTCTCTCTCTCTCACTGCGACTTTATCGGCGTGGTAAGGTTTGCGGGCCGGTTCTCTGGAGTTTAGTTGCACATAGTAAGCAACAAAAGGATAATATCACAAGAGTGTCTCCAAGCGGAGGCAAGGGTCGTTGAACGGATTATCGTGTACGCATGTAGTGTATTGGCTTGTAGTTCTCTCTTCATGGCACACGGCTTTGGCGAACGGGGGATCATCAGATTGTCTAGGGGACGCAAAGAAACATGTTACTTCTATACTGGTTCATACTTTGGTGATTACTGCATGCCAAATCTCGGTTGGCAGTGTTTTCCTGAAGTTGTTCGTACTGGACGCGCCTTAGGAGCATGTGATATCGGTGTATCACAGCTGACTCGCAGTCTAGACACATCAACCTACTCGACAGCACAACCCCGCGTGCTCGGGAAGCCACTACATCAACAAAACGTTCGTAGCACGTAAGCTGGCGATCGTAGGAAGGTAAAGATGATTTTGACTAATGCCGTTTCTCCCTCCATCTAAGAGCGTACCTGATCAACCACGAAAACCCAGTCAGATGATTGATCAAAACCCACTCGTTCACTATATCAAGTCTTCCTCTCCTCCCTCTCTTCCCCTTTCCTCTCTTTTCTGTCTGCAGATATCATGCTCTTTACCAACGAATAACTGAGGCGGGGTCTGCCATTTGATATAATGGTATCCGTCTCCACCTGTTCTACCTTCGAACGGATCATATATCCCAGGCCAAAGGGAATGTTTCCATGCATCTATTTGTGTAGGGCAACAATCATGGCAACACCCTTGCAAAGCCGGTTCAAAGATGGGGCGAGTTGGATGGCGGTCCCAATCTACACGTCAAGCTGCGGTACATCACTGTGAGAGACACGACATCTAGTTAAGAGACTGAATTTTCGGTTCTCGTTACAGCAAGCAGTATGTAGGTATACCAGAATATAGGCATAGACTCACTGCCGCCGGGGCCTGTCTGCATAGGTATCGAAAGAGAAAAAAAAGGAGCAAGAGATGCTGTTTCCCCCTTGAGTCCTCTGCCAAAAGGAGAAAAAACAATTGTGAGCAATAAAATAGCAAAGTAGAAAGGTTGCAGCAGTAATATCTGTCCTTCCGTGAAACCTCCCGCTGTTAAACCCATTTGCCTAACCTGGCTCAGTATACACAGCACATGTACGCGCTCACGCGTCATTTAACCCCGGGCCTTTCCCCTAATCACTATCATCCATGTCGAACGGGTCCTCGCTCTGGTCGACGTCCATCTCACTGTCATCCTCAATGACGTAGGTGGGCTTCGCCTTCGCCTTGGTCGCAGCCGCGCGCCCAGGTCTGCTTCGAGCAGCGGGACGAGGCGGGGACTCAGGGTCTTCCATGTCAACATCATCATCCTCGTCGTCGCTCACCGCACGCTTCGTCGCCTTCTTAGCAGCATAGGCCTTGGCGGCGGGTGAAAGCGTAGGCGGCTTGGGAGCTGCCTTTGCCTTGGGCTTAGCCTTGGGTGCTGGTGCTGCTTCGGCGTCCTTGGCCTTATTCTTCGCTCCAGCGGGACGACCGCGAGCCTTCTTGGCCACTGCAGCAGCAGGAGCAGCCTTGGAGTCCTTTGCCTTGGAACCCTTGGTGGCAGGAGCACCGTCATCGCTCAAGAAGCTGTCAATGTCGTCGCCCTTGTTGAAGGTCTTATGAGGAGACGACCGAGCCAGCATCTCGTAGTTGGTATCGTCGACACTATCGTCGTCAAAGGTCCTCGAGGCCTTGGTCTTGATCTTGGGCAAGGTGGAGTCACGCCCATTGTCAGGACGGTTCATGGCGAACAAACTAAGTCGGCCCTTCTCAGTCTCTGACTTGGGCGCGCCGATTCCGCGGACCAGAGAACCAATGTCTCCAATGTGGTTTTCCTCCACCTCGGACTCCTCAGATTCATCGTCAATAACGTACTTTGACTTCTTGGTGGTGGTCGCAGCCCTCTGGTTTCTGCCGTTGGCGGCGGGCTTTGCAGGCTTCGGTTCAGGGGACGCGCTCATCTCGGCAGCACTCTGAAAGTCGTCATCTTCGTCAGATTCATCCTCAATGACGTACTTCTTCGTTGCAGCGGCGCGCTTGCTCTTGGGTGCAGGCTCAACCGATGCGGACTTTGATGCGGCCTTGTCGCTGGAGGTCTTCTTGCTGCCAAGGTTTTCAAAGTCGTCATCATCGTCGCTGAGCAACTCTTCCACCTTGGGCGAAGGCTCCTTGGGTGCAGACTTCTTGGGCGCAGGCTTCTTGGCCGCTGCGGACTTCTGGCTCTGCGAAGAGTTATCGTCCTCGACCGCCGACTCCGCCGGAGCAGAGGTGCTCTTGCCAAGGCTAGCAAAATCTTCGTCGTCGTCATCAGTGTCGCTCAGCTGGTAGACGGGCTTCTTCTTGGTGGCGGCGGCTCTGGGGCGGGTCGGCTCAGCCGCGGGCTTGGCAGCATTCTTTCTGCCACCAAGAGCTGCAAAGTCATTGTCCGAGAATGCGTCCGAATCAGCATCCTCCTTCTTTGGCTTCGTCTTGTCCTTCTCGAACATGGCGGCGAACCTGTCAGCAGCCTTCTCGGTGACCTTGGCGGCAGCCTTGGCTTTGGGCCCAGGACGCTTCTTCTCCCCGGGTGCGTAGTCATCGTCCTCCTTCTTCGTCTTCCGACCCTTGCCAGCACCAATCTTCTTAGACACACGCCTACCGAGTCTCCGAATGTTGGTCTGGATTTCAGCGTCCATGGCCATCTGGGTCTCCCACTCGGCCACGAACTCGTCGAGATCCTTTGACCAGAGGTCCTTCTCACTAAGAGCAAGAAGTGCATCGTGCTCGGCCTTCTTGTTCTCAATTTGCTTCTGAAGTCTTTCAAGACGCTCATAAGTCAAGTTCCAAATGGGCATCTAGAGATAATTGTTAGTGACGAGATTTGGTAAGTGAGGTCAGGGGATACTAACAGAAAGCAAGTAGTCGTAGCCGTTCGTCTGCTCGTCGGCCTCCTCCTCTTCACCGTCGTCATTGCCCTCCATGTCTTCGTCGGTCGACTTCTTCTTGACATTCTTGTCCTTGTTTCTGGGGAAAGGCTCGTACTTGCGCTTGGCGAGCTCCTCGACGAGAACCTGCTTCTTCTTCTTCGCAACGACGAGCTTGCCGTCGATGATTTCCCTGATGAAGCGGGCTTGCTCAGAAAGCTTTCTGAAGTCTGAGTGGTAGACACCCAGCCAATGCTTCTTGCGCTGGGCGTACATATCGAGACGATAGTGATAGAACTCCTCCAAGATGTCTTCCACCTTTTCGTACTTGCGAATCTGACCGTTGGTATCAAAGGCGACCAAGTTGGAGGTTGCGACCTGCTTGGAGAGCTTGAAACGCTCCATGAGGCCGTCCTTCATCACGTCCTTGACTTGCTTGTCGTCCATTTGGATAACAAAGTGGACGTTCTTGTGGTCGTTGAATTCCTTGTAGTCCTTGATCCAAACTGGGCCTTTAGTACCGCTGATGACTTCTTCGAGCTTGGCCTTGAAATCATCTGTCCACATGCGGATAGGAAGCTCAGTGATGATGACCTCACCAGTCTTCTCATCAAGCTCGCAAATGCCGTTGAACTTATAGCGATCCTTCTCAGCCTGCTCAGGGGTGCCCTTCCAGCCACGGAACCAAGGCATCATGGTCTGGAACACGCCATCCTCGCCATCCTCACCATCGAGGCGACCCATGCGTCTTTTCAGGTTGTTGACAATGTCAATTGGATGGTAATTGGGGATGGAAGTACTCCAACCAGTACCGATACCGTCAGCACCGTTGCAAAGAATCATGGGAATGATTGGCGCGTAGACCTTGGGCTCAATCCTCTTTCCATCTTCGTACTGGGAGTCCAGGTTGGGCTCGTCGAGGGGAGAGAAGATCTTCCTTGCAAATGGTGACAGTCTCGTGTGAATGTAACGAGGGCTGGCAGCATCTGAACCACCGGCAAGTCGGGAACCGAAGTTTCCGGAGGGCTCTAAGCAGTTGATGTTGTTTGAACCCACAAAGGTCTGGGCGAGTCCAATGATGGTCTGCTGCAGAGACACTTCACCGTGGTGGTAGGAAGTCTGCTCAGAAATGTAACCGGCCAATTCAACGACCTTCTGATCTTTGACCAAGTTCCTCTTGAAACAGGCGTACATGACTTTACGTTGACCGGGCTTCAATCCGTCCAGAACAGAAGGAATGGAACGCATGTTATCAGCCATGGAGAAGAGGATGAGTTCCTTGTTGACAAAGTCGGTGTACGAGATGGTCTTGGTAGACTGGTCGAGGAAAGTACCGGGCACAAAGCTTCCGAGCCACTCTTTTCTGGCGTCCGCCTTCTTCTTGGAGAAGGCAAGGTCGAAAAGGTCGGCCTCCTCAGTCTTCATCGTGTCGAACTCCTTCAGATGGTCATCAAGGTTGGTAAAGTAGACTTGGGCGTCTTCGTTTGAACTGGTACCCAGACCCTTGAAGTACTTGTAGTGCCACCTGGAAAGATCGTTCCTGTTGTTATCCTTCCACTCCTCGTATTGAGGTTGAGTGAAGAATGACTTGAGGCGTTGGGGTTTCTTCGGATTGGGTCCCTGCCAGACCTTGACGATAGGAGTAATAAACTCCCGGAAGAAGTCGGGAATCTGCAGCAAGGATGGGTACTGGACTTGCAAGAAGTTGATGAGAAGACCCTTGATATGAGAACCGTCGTGGTCCTGATCGGCCATGATCATCAGGTGACCATATCGCAGACTCTTGGTGTCGGTGTATGTCTGCTTGTGCTTGAGACCCATGAACTGCTTGATGTTCTGGATTTCGGCGTTCTTCGTAATCTGGTCGATGGACGCATCTCGCACGTTGAGCATCTTACCAC